ATAAAAACACAAAACAAAACAAAAAAAGAAACAAAAACGCAACATCTCGGAAAATTCCGGAAAAACTCAGCGGAGCGTCCACGCATCTCTACCCGCCGACCGCTGCCTCTGTTCGGCTACGGACAGCGCGCCGGACCGCCCATCTGACTTGGACTTAACTGGACCATCTATTTATTTATTTTGCTGCAACTTTTATGCACTGCCTGGTTTACGTTGTAAACTAATCCAAAGTGTGCCTGAGCGTGTGCGCTCGCAGTTTTGTTGCTTTTATTTGGTGCGTTTTTTACGCTTGGCGTGCGTAAAATCCGCTTTAAAATAACCACCCGAGACAGCGGAGCAGGGCTGAAGCGGAGGGTCAACCAGGCTGAAGTCAGTTCATACTGAGTGTTTTATTGTCTGTAGAGTTTATACACATTGTTTGTCTCAGAAATAGCGCCTAACTACGTTGTTCATTTGCAGAAAGGACTGTATTGCTTTCAGAAAGCATGAGGGGGAAATAAAATAAAAATCTTGTAGTAAAATTTAAGTAATTAGACTCATACAAGTCTCTGTTATAAAACGATGAGGCTGAAAAGGCACAAGATGACACATTTTCTTAGACTTCTGTCTGTGCTAGGGGAAAAAAATATATTTTACAGCTTTTAAAGAAATATTTGGGTGCAACTGCGGATTTATTTTATCCGTTACCAGTGCAGAGGTTAAAATTTGATGTTGTTTCTTCTGATGAGAACAGAAACAACCTGTCTGTCCATCTTAAACTCCAGTAGGAATATACTGCAAGAACTAATATCCAAACTATCTGAATATGTATTCTAAACAGACGCACATAAGAGTTTATGTTCAACTTTCTTTGCAGTATAAAATCTGTATTTTATCTTAAAACAGCAGTGAAATCCTGCAGGCTGGAACAATGAAGCGTATCAGACCGGATAAACGGATCAGGATCATCTGAAACGTAAACTTACTGTTAACTGATGAGCTTCTGACTCTCTTATTTGGAATTATTACCACAAATTTAAAGTAGGAGTCTAATTGTTTTTTTTAATAAGATCAGTTTTAATCCTGAAATATAAAGTGATGATGATTGACCGGAAGTAAACCATGTGAAATCAGACTCAGTGAAGAAAAGTATCACTTTAATAATAAGACGATTTAAACACTGGATGTGATACATTTGAGGCTTTGGTGTAGATTTAATTTGGAACAGTTGTTCTTTTTATGCTCCTCTTCACACCTAAAACTTAATTTTACTGCAATTCACAGTTTGGGATATTGTAAATATTTTTTATGTATTTAAATTTTGTATAATTCACCAATAGCCTAAAATTGAATTTGTTGATAAATCTCATGTGCTCATGTAAATTTAACACAAACAACATGTGATTCAGGATTGAGCACCCTGTCTGAAACGCTGCTTTTTTCTGTATTAACACCTTAGAAGGTAAACCAGGTTGAGATCAGGTGCGTTCTGGCTCAGCTGAACACAGAAGAAAAATTGGATTTTAATTAGCGTGATGAGGCTGAAATCTGTGTTCGATATGTGATCATCATCAGTTTCACACCTTCAGAGTAAATTTAATGCAAACACACTTTTCACTAGGTTTAGTTAGTGATTTGTAAGGTGGAAATTGAGTGATTAATGTGACGTTTTGAGCGTGTTTTGCATCTCTCACATGTAAACCTAACGTAGTGAAACAACGCCTCTCAAATGTCATCTAGATTGTACATTTTCTGCTTCCCACGTGTGAATTTGATACAGTTGTTGTGCACCTTGTGTTAGAGTTTGACTCTGATTTGACAGATTTGACCCCCTGTGTGTCCCGTACATGTCGACATCCTGCCCTGACCTCTGCCTTTGTGTTTTGATGCTGATGATTGACACCTCATCCTCTCTGGTCTCTCTACCCAGCAGCCAGCGGGCAGTCATGCTGAAGCCGGGTGACCCGAGTGGCTCGGCCTTCTTGAAGGTGGACCCGTCCTACCTGCAGCACTGGCAGCAGCTCTTCCCTCAGGCGCAGCTGAAGGCTCCTCTGGGCCCACCGCCGCCTCCACCTGACCGTCTCTCCATCCCCATGGACACCCTGCGCACATCCCGCCTGCACAGCCACCTCCTGGCCTCCACACACTGCACCTCCTCCTCTTCGTCTTCTACATCCTCCTCCTCAGCTTCTTCTTCAGCAGCAGCAGCGGCAGCAGCAGCAGCAGCTCTCACCCCGTCCTCCTCCATCTCCATCTCCACCTCGGCAGGGATCTCCCAGCTGCCCGTCCCCCAGCAGATCGCACTCTTTGGGCAGGCATTGGCCCCGGTATGTGCCGGGCCTGGAGGACCTGGAGGAGGAGGAGGAGGAGGACCAGGAGGAGGAGGGGGAGACCTGGTGGTGGTGGTCCCCCCGGAGAACCAGCAGGGTCACAACCCAGCAGCGGGGTTTCTCCATCAGGCCAAAGAGCAGAGCTGTGGGGGGGTCGGCGTGGTGTCGTCCAGCGTGAAGAGCAGCAGCAGCAGCAGTGGAGGAGTCGAGGAGGGCGGCAAAGGAGCGACGGGCAGGTTCAAGCTGACGTCGGAGGAGCTGGACTACTACCTGTACGGACAGCAGAGGATGGAGATCATCCCACTGAGCAACCACACGGGAGAGGTCAACAACCGTACGTACACACAGACACACACAGACACAAACAGACACACACAGACATGTCTCTGCCACTGGAGTTTACTTTGACAAGTTTTTTTTGCCATTTCAAGCCTTTGTTGGAAATTGGACAGTGGAGAGGTGACAGGAAATGAGAGGAGAGGGCCCTCGCAATCGAACCGAGGATGTTGTGATCATAACGTGTGTCTTAACCACTAGGCCACCCGGACGCCCCATTTCCTTTGGTTTGTTTACATACACGCAGTTGGTATAATTCTTCTATGATATTCTCATTGGGCCACAGATTGTTTGTGTGATGCACAACAACAGCGTTCAACCTTCTGCAGTTTTCATTTGCTATATTTCCTTTAATTCTCTAATGATTCTCCTATAATTCTACATAAATGTACAGTGTTACAGGCGTTCTGCCAGCTGTTCCAGTTGGGATTGCCTGGGTAATTAAATGTATATATTTGTGGTGTTGATTGTTTCTAACAGAAAACTGCTCCAGACGCGCGAGTTGAATGGTTATTGTAGTGAGAACTATTCTTTGAGTGCGGTGGTGGTGCATACATAGTACCCACATTCAATTGGTTTGTCGTGGCCAGATTAATTAGCTACTCTCTGATACATTGAATTAATGAATAAATAATGGTCATATAATTTAATGTAATTTAACCCATGGAAAATAGCCAACTTCCATGTAACTCGTTTTACATCATTTTTGGTACAAATGGTTTT